AGATGTTTCCGGTTGCTGTGGCAGCAGCTTGGTTTGGATGTGTGTCGAAAGGCTGTGCTCGTGACCAGTGGTTTCCTTGGTGTTGTGTTTTCAGGACAGTCACAACCTCCGTGCCACCTGTCGATGTTCCTGGAAGTCACAGATCCTCGCAACACTTGCGCTGATTGGAGCTGCTTTGTGAGTCATCGTCTGTCGGTTGTCAACCAACGTACCGACGAAAGATCCGTGACAAAAGAATCCCAGAACCGGTATTCGAAGGCTGCGAAGGATTGGGGGTGGCGGGAGTTCGTGACCCTGACTAGCCTGTTCGATCAAGACTCTGGATTTCTTGTGCAGGACATGGTTGTTTTCTCCGCAGAGGTGTTAATTCTGAAGGAGACTTCTACAATGCAGGAGCTCTCCGAGTACGAGGGTGAGGCAGCAGCTTCAGGAGGAGGTTCCGACACGGGTAGAATCGTGAACCGCGGAACTTTCACGTGGCGCGTGGAGAATTTTCTGGCTTTCAAGGAGATCATGGAAACTCGGAAGATTTTTAGCAAATTCTTTCAGGCAGGGGGGTGCGAGCTACGCATAGGTAAAGCCATGACGGCTGTGAAGCGATCGGTCTGAACCCGCAGCAGTAGACGTGTCTCGTCTCGATTTTAAACTAGGTGTTAGAATGGATAGCGGGGACAGCACAGCGTGGTTTGTTCGCTGCTATTGCACTGCAGAAGGGAGGGTTTGATGGCATGCCCGTGCACGGTTGCGAGAAGGAGTTGAGTCTTGAATTTTGCGACAGGTGCAGAGTTTGGAGGAGAAACAGGGATGAGTTGGCGGCGCAGTCTGCGCCTGGGTTCAGTGTAATCATGGCATTAGCGCATGTCCACGATCCGTCTGTGATTTGTCTGATATAGTCCGTGATGGTGATCGTTTTGCAGGTGTATATGAGTCCTTTGATACTCTGTGTATATACCTGGAGAGTGATCAGTCTATAGGATCAGATCCAGACCGAAATTTTTGGGTGAGATATCGCATGGCGGTGGTGAACGTTAAGCATGGAGATCGCACGGTTTGGAAGGAGTCTTCTATCTGCACCAAGACGTGGAACAATTCGGTTCTGCAGTTCATGAAGGTGTCTGACATGGTGGAAGCGGATGCGGGCTTCTTGGTCCGAGACACGGTCGTGTTTGTGTGCGAGATACTGGACTGCTGCCCGTGGTTTGAGTTTTCTGACCTGGATGTAAGTGGGCCTCATGGGAATTGCTATGTTTTGGATTGACGTTGGCGGTCGTTGTGGGAGAGCGCGTGGCGGGTATGTGGTGGCCGCGCTAGGGGGAGCGTTGAGACGACGGGGTAGATTACGGTTTTGGCATGAATTTGGTGGGTCCGAGCTTGCGCGGTCAGGGTCGCTTTGTGGCGTGATGTCTGATTTTGTGGATTGCAGGTGCTGATATCTGACGACGAACAAGACGCGCTGTCCACTGATCCAGAGGAACTGTTGGACTCGGACGACAGTGAAGGCGTTAGTGGTGACGAAGAGGATATCTTTCGAAGCCTACTAGCACGGGCTGGGTTTCACTTGAGCTATGGGGACAATCCTCCGCTTTTGTTGGATCCATCCCAGCTTCAGATCACACTGCGCGAGAAGTTGCTGATGGATGCGGGAGCTGTGGCAGCGTTTTTAGCAGGTACGGGTAGCGAGAAGACTGAATAGTTTGGTTAAGACGCGAGCTTATTTTGCGGGGATGGCACGCGTCAGTGGTGCGATGAGGCGAGGTTGATTGATGCGAGCTTGGGGATGGTAGTTGAGCAGGCTTAGGTGGGGCGTTAGGACGAGGAAGATCTCTGGTGCTTATGAGGCACACGAGTGTTGTGAAAGGAGTTGGTGTGGAACCTGGGGTGTTGCGTTTGTTGCGCGTTGGCTGAGTACTGGCGCATGTGGGATGCACTTTGTAGGCTTGAGGGTGTACTTGGACGATCCAGCAAAGGTGAAGCGGCTGCTTTTGCCAACCAAGGTTTCGACCACAAGTGCGGGAGGAGGCGGAGGTAAAAACGCAGCAGGGAGAGGGGAGGCGTCTTCTCCCAGTCTGATGAACCTGTTGATGGGAGTTAAAGTGCTGCAACAAGCTATAGTAGATCTGCTGTTGGACATCATGGTTGAGTGCTGTCAACCATCGGAAGTGAAGAAGTGCAACGATGTGCCGGTGGAGAACAAACGAGGTGGATTTTATGAAGGGAACAATGTAAGTGGGGTCTCGCTGGCACATACCGCTTTGGGTGAAAGGGGGGGGGGTCCTGAGTGTGGGCGAGGTCGTTTGTTCATCAGACGATAGGAGCGCAATGCTCCCTATTTGAACCTGTAGGGAGTATTGTAGCAAACGTTTTGGATGGAGGTGGCACCTCGTTGTGAAACGGCAATGCGAGTGAAACAGGAGCCTAGCAAGGTCGTGTGATGGAGTGGTGTTTTTGGCGTGCTTGAATGGGTGGGGTTTGTCGTTGTAGGGGACATCGTTGAAACGCTGTATTGTTCAGAGCATGAGTGGTGGGTGGATGGTCACAATGAACAAGTGATGAACAAGAAATAAGTGGGTGGAGAGCAGTGTGGCAGGCAACGTGATTTGGCAACTTTCCTGGCTTGGAAATTGTTGGTGCAGTAGCTGTGTGTTGTGTGTCCTCGCGCAGCGAGCGGTGTCGTAGGATATGATTGAGATGGAGATGTAGAGTGAATATTTTGGATACTGATTTGCGTGGATGGCCGAAGTGGCAGGCTGCTAAGCCCGCGGCCGCAGGGGGAGTGGACTGGCGGAACGGCGGTTCAGCTGTAGAATCTCGAGATAGTGGATTAAGCTCAATTGATCAGCGACTAGAAGTAGGAGGAGATGGATCTTCAGGAGCACAGGCTGTGCAAAGCAGTGACTCGTTGGCTGTAGATATGCCAGTGGGAAGGGCTGCTGCTCTATCTGTGTCGTCCGTGCAGTCTGAGCCGGCAGCGAGCCAAGAGTCATGTGTTCCAGATACTATGAATAATACTTTCTCAAACCATGCTCAGAAGGTACCGTGGACGGGGACACTTGCTGTGTTGCGTGTCATTGATTGTGAGAACAAGGCTGTGTTTGTGCAGTCAGTCAGGTTTGCAGCTATGAATGATGTGGTTTAATGTTTTGTACGGTTTTTCACAGTTTGCATGGGTGAGGAACGGTGGTTACGTAATTATTTTGAGCATGGTCGGGCGGAATCGGAAGGCGATATGGAGGGTGATGTCTGACCGTCGGATTTGGGGTGTGATGGGTGGCGTGTGCAGCCGAAGTGGCCTGAGCAATCCGACGAGCTTTTGGGATTGATAGTGAATTCTTTAAGAGCCCTGGAAGGAGCTGTACCTCAGGGTGTTCCGGAGCCGCGGCGAAGGCCACAATCAGCGCAAAAGATGCAC